AGCATATTAGGCAAGTCAGAGAACTACCATATATATTATCATCAACAGGTAACTTTTCATTTTTGTGTCTCTTAAGTGTTTTTGGTTTTTTTCCCCAATGCCCTCCTTCCCATTCCCTCTTACCCGCCCCCTTCAGTATTGTCTCTAGTACAATACTACAGTTGCCTTCCCTGGTATTATACCTTTATACCTTCCAATCTTTCAGTTTCTGTTGTAGAACACCAACAGTTGATATATATTAAGTGGGGACAAACATAGTTTAGTTTATTATTTGGCTTTTGTTATTTGACTTTTTAGTCTTGTTGGGGAAAAAGGCAACCTCAACATGTACCTCAAAAGTTTTACGTGCAGATAATTTGGCACCTTGTTCTATATCTGAATTAGATTTCAGAAGAGATCATTCATAATTTCAAATTTTATAATATATATTTAAATACAGAGTGGTATTTTTCACTTTTAGCTTAACTTGAAATTCCATTCATTTAAATTTAGCAGAATATGTTTTAGATATAATACAAAGTAGTAGTTCTAGTTAAGGAAGCATATAATTTTCAAAATGTATATCAATTTAGAAAACATTAGGCACACAATATCAGTCATCAGTATCCTGTTTACTCTTTGAACTATGAAAAAGATACAAGTGCCCATCAATAACAAGTGATTAGTGACAAAAAGTATAGGTAAGTGTATTTTCCAGGCAAAAATAGGAGAAAACACATGCAGAAAGAGCCAGTCTTGGTCCAGGTCTGAATGCATATGAAAAGTGATTTGGAAGAGAAGGCCAGCATATTGAACAGAACAAGCAGAAACAGAAAGGAGAAAAGAAAAAAATAGATGTTCATTGGATCAGACAGAATTTCTGTAGCAGAGTGCATTTTGGGAGCAATATTTTTTTAAATTAGCTAATAAATGGAAATATAGCTCATGAATAAAATTTATATATTTATATAAGTAAAATCATGGTATATTGTATTTTCCTAAAATGGTCATCACAATTTATCCAGCCCCTCATACTCTTCTTACAGTGTGACCTTGGCGTCTATCATGTGGTGATTCTATTATAAATTCCTCCCCCTTGAGGCTAGGGCCTAAAATTGCTATGCATTTTTTTTTTTTTGAGAGGTTTTTTGTTATAGGGCACGTGCGCTCGCCAGACAGACAGAGAGAGACATAGAGATGGAAAGCGAAAAATCATCCCCCAGGGGGGATGGTCACGTCGCAACCCCTTCTCCTCCATTCTCCTCTCGGGATCTTGGGCACGCACGCACATGTGCCCGGCGTGAGTTTTAAGCCACCGGGTCCAGGACATGAGCTGCAGTTGACTACGTGGGAGTCCAGCGACATAGCCATTACACTAACTGCTGGTTCCCTAAAATCGCTATGCACTTTGTCTTGCTCACTTGAATGCCAGCTCTTAGAACTCCAACACTCCATAAAGAATCCAAGCAGATGGATTCCCAACCAATAGCCAGTATCACCTATTGACATATGAGTGAGTGGGACCCCAGATGGCTCCAGACTCTGGTCTTCTACTTTACCCTGAATTTCCAGCCACCCACCTGACACTATGTAGAATGAAGATGAGCTATTCCCTGTGAAACTTGCCCAAATTGTAGATCTGTGAGCCATATAAATGACCATTGTGGATTTAAGCCATGTTTTGAGTGAATGATCATACAGCAGTCCAGAACAATTACACACACACACATGGTTATATATACACACATATATAAATATATGAAACAGTAATGCAGAAATTCATACTTTAAGAATTTATTTAATTTTTTTTTTTGGAGAGGTTTTCACTATAGGGCGTTTGCGCTGGCCAGACAGACAGAGAGAGACATAGAGACAGAAAATGAGAAATCACCCCCCACGGGGGATGGTCACGCCGCAATCCCTTCTCCTCCTCCATTCTCCTCTCAGGATCTTGGGCATGCACGCACACGCGCCCGGCGTGAGTTTTAAGCCACCGGGTCCGGGACGCGAACCGCAGTTAACTATGTGGGAGTCCAGCGACATAGCCATTACGCTAACTGCTAGTTCCCTAATTTTTTAAAAATGTATTATTTTCCAGTTTGATCAGAGAGAGATAGAGAAAGAAAGAGAGAGAAGGAAAGTGAGAAAGCAAACCACCAGGTCCAGTACTCAAACCACAGTTGGCCATGTGGGATTCTAGCATCCTTAACCACCATGCCACCTGCCGGCCCCAAAATCTACAGGATTTTTTCATAATATGCATTTTCCACTTACTTTTTTTTTTGGAGCGGTTTTTGCTATAGGGTGTGTGCACTCGCCAGACAGACAGACAGAGACAGAGAGATAGAAAGCGAGAAATCACCCCCCGGGGGGATGGCCACGCCGCTATCCCTTCTCCTCCATTTTCC